CTTTTGTTTTAAATTCCCTTGGCTGCAGCATGAAACTGACACTCAGGAGGGCCCCGGAGGCTGCTGGGGGATGTAGTTTCGCACACGGGCGCACACACCCCCTTTTCCTGCTGCTTCTGCAGTCTAGGAAAGAGAGGGAAAGAAAGAAGGGGAGGAAGGGATGAAAGAAGGTAAGAAGCCTGGTCTTGTGGGTAAGGCATTGGCTTGGGACGCAGGAGATCTGGCTTTGGCCACTGGTTCCCCTTGGGCCAGTCACTTAATCTTGCAGCATCTGATTCCCCCACCTGTAAAACGGGGACAATAATCCTTCCTGATCTCCACAGGATGCTGTAAGGATAAAATCCATGAATGACAGCGAGGGGCTCAGATCCTGTCGTGATAAGTACTAGGGAGAGGAAACTAGACAGGAGTAAAGAGAGAGGGCCTGCTCTTGTTTAGACCTGGGCAAATGGGGAGTGAGTCCACTAAACCCCAGAAGCTAGAAGGAGGGGTGGGGGGAAAAAGAAGCTAGCTGGGAACAGAAAGGAATACACGCACACAGGCCCCTGATTCAGCAACGGGGCTGCATGTGGGTGCTCGGTGCCTGTGCAGAGTCTAATTGACTTCCGTGGGGAGCCCCAGTTGACAGAGGAATCAACACATTCATTGCAGGATCGGGGCCCTGTAGAGACAGCAACACAGAAAGAGACTCAGAGCCAGAGAAGCAGACACACAGGGTCATTTCACTGTAGCCTTGTGCAGCTGTTTGCACCAGGGTAATTAACCTCTGGAACAATTTCCCCAGTATCTTGGTGGATTCTCCATCACTGACAGTTTTCAAATCAAGATTGGGTGCTTTTCTAAATGATCTGCTCCTCTAGGAATTGTTTTGGGGAAGTTCTATGGCCCGTGTTATCCAGGAGGTCAGACTAGATGATCACAGTGGTCCCTTCTGGCCTTGGAATCTGTGAATCTAGTGCAAAACGCTACCAGATCAGAATGCTCCCACTTCCCGAGGGTGTAAATTACTACTCAAGTCGTAGGGTGACAGTGAATTGGCCCATGGAGAGAAAAAGGCAGGGGGGGGGCTGATTCACCACTGCCTTGTGCACTAGTCCTTTGTACCACTCTGTTTGGTACCACTTGCTTTGCACCAGTATAAATGACAGCACAAGGGGCAGGAGAATCGAGCCCAGTAAGCGGTATTGGGCCATCTCAGACAAGATTTTTTTAAACCTCTTAACGGACAGAGACCCAGCTTAAAAAAAAAAAATCTTTCACCATCTACCAAAAGAAGTGAGATCCTTGGAAAGAAAAGACGAACAACCCTGCTTTCCGATGACTCCCCGCTGAAGGATTCTCTACATGAGCCAGACTTGGCAGAGCTGCTGGGGTGGGGGATGGGGGCAAAGGAACTCATGTGCTATTTGTTCAATGCAAAAGCAGAAAACCCTTGAATTGATTGCAATAACCCAACCTCCCTTTCCCCCAAATCTAGAGATCGGGGGTGGTAGAAATACAGTGCTCCCTTTTCTTATTGAAATGAGGGGTGACTTGGTGGAAGGGGAGCATTGAAAATCGCTTTTCAGCTCCAAGCCTGCAAAGCTGTTTTCCTCCCTCCTTCCCCTTTCTTCCCTTTGAATCAAACCAGATGTCTCTCCCATGAAATGAGATTGCATGAGCTCACGCTGAAGAGAGACAATGCAGAAAGATGCAAGACCCCATTGAGCCACACTACACTGCAGCTTTGGCAGAGGCGACGTCTGCCTCTCTGGCTGGAGGGAAGAGTGTGTGTGTGTGTGTGAAGGGGGGTAGAGCCTTGTTACTGAAGCAGGAATTTGCTACCCCGCACTGTATTTTGCATTATTTCCTCTCTCTCTCAGATCCTTGCAACTAGCTCTCTCTCTCTCTCTTTTTCTGGTTCTGCTGCGGCATAAGATCTCAGCTTGCAAATGAACTGAGCAGATGAGGGATACTGCACAAGGAAATGTCTCATCCAGTGACTCACAAGGTAAGGTGTTGCTACAGCTTTCTTTGCAACTTTGCCTGGACAGTTTGGGAGTGGGTATTTTGCGTCTTTTCCAACCAGCCTCCCTGATCCATGGCAAAAAGTCAGCCGGATGCTGCAACACCGTCAGATCAGACAGCCCAGCATGTTTTGTTTTGCTTAAACATATGAAATGATTCTGATTTTTGGTTCAATATTTCATGTTTATGATGCGATCGGAAAAAACCCAAGTATAACAAGAACAAAAAAGCCACCGGGTTATATTTAATGCATCTTGTTTTGACCATGATTTTAGAATTGTGTAATGTGTATGTATATACATATATGCATACATATAAACTTACACGCATCACACACACACATTGTATACATAACACATGCGTACTCATGTATGAGACATGAACACTACATATAATACAGGATAAGTCTATATGTGCATTTATTTAATATAGATATTCATATACTCACACGCAATCATGCGTACACATGCACACATGATCTATATCAATTACACAAATGCACACATAGACAATGATATATAAAGAGAATAAATTATGTGAGTATATATAGATATGTACTGTGTATATGTATGCATAATATGTGCATATATTTGTGTGTGTAAGGTGTGTGAGTGCGTATATATAGTGTGTGGGCATACTTAGTATGTATATTTTTGGGTAAAGTGTGTGTGCGTACACATAATACATATATATAGTTGTGTGAGCATACACACACACTATAGCTTTTGGGGTGAGTGACAGAATATATATATTTGAAAAACAATGTACTTGTCTTCTAAATTACAGCATTCAAGAATTGTTTTTCACCTGGTCAGAGTTTGATCTCTTTAGAGAAACAGACAGTGGTGCCTTGTCTGTAGGTATCACTTCATTTTAGGGAGACAGTTTCTCTTGCAACTCCCATTTTATGATCCACCCTATAATTCAGGAACAGAACTGTGACCCCTAAAGCAATGAAAGTGAGGGGGGAGAGTAATTCTGATGTTTATAGGCTGATCTTGCAAATACTGGCTCACTCAGGCAAATAGCCCCATTAATGTCAGAGGGGCAACTTGCAAAGGGCTCTCTTGTTACTTACTCACATGAGTAAGTGTTTGTATAATGAAGTGTTTATTTACTCCTTCACATGACACAAGAACTAGGGGTCACCCAATGAAATTAATAGGCAGCAGGTTTAAAACAAACAAAAGGAAGTACTTCTTCACTCAACGCAAGGTCAACCTGTGGAACTCCTTGCCAGGGGATGTTGTGAAGGTCAACACTATATCGGGGTTCAAAAAAGAGCTAGATAAGTTCATGGAGGATAAGTCCATCAATGGCTATTAGCCAAGATGGTCAGGGATGCAGCCCCATGCTCTGAGTGTGCCTAACCTCTGATTGCCTGGAGCTTGGTGTGGATGACAGGGGGATGGATCACTGGATGATTGCTTGTTCTGTTCATTCCCTCTGAAGCACCTGGCATTGGCCACTCTCGGAAGACGGGATACTGCGCTAGATGGACCATTGGTCTGACCCAGTATGGCCATTCTTAGGTTTGTAGGAAGGGCTACTATGCTTGAAAATCCAAACTGGGATTTGAATACAAATAGGTCACGCCAACACCCAACATGCCTTTGAGTTTGATGGGTGTTCAGAATCCTGATCTGGATTATGGTGGAGCAGCAGCACCGCCATAGTTGTGGTTACTAGTTTACTGTGTAACAGCCAGAGGGGTAGGGGTGCACCTTAACTCTGTATTTCCTGGTTTTCAGAGATTTAAGCATAGCTGCATACTTGACGTTCTGGAAGGGCCTGGGGCACTGCCAGTGAAACTTAACGTTACATTAACTAACTTTTGGGGCAGCGAATTTAGATCCACAATTTGGCCCTGATCCTGCAAGCTGCTCCCTGTGGTGGGAATATCTGTGCCCACGTAATGCCCCAGTGACTTCAGTCAGACTGCACATGGGTGCAGGGGGTCTACCCAGGCAGAAGAGTGGGATTGGGGTCTGAGGGTACAGCAGCTGGGAGGTGTAATGCCCAGCACGGGTAGACACTTACGCCACCTCTGCTCGAGCTAGCACCTAAAAATAGCCATGTAGCCCCAGCGACACCTCGGGCTAGCTGCCCAAGTACAATCCCGCCCAAGTACAATCGCACCCAACCACCCAGCTCGAGCCACAGCCGCTCGGTTATTGTTAGCTCACTAGCGCGATCAGCGGTAGAGCAAGTACATCTCCCCATTGGCAGTCTGGGAATCACACCTCCCAGCTGCTGTGTGTAGACATACCCTTAGTGGCTTGTCCCCCTAACCCATGCCCCTCTGCCCCCTCTAGTTGTGCCTGAGCCACATGTAGAGGTTGATCAGCCTACTACGGTCTTGGCTAACAGAGCTGGGTCTGTCAGCTCCAGCAATAGCGGCTCGTGCTTTAAGAACCAGAGGTCTGAGGCTCAAACCCTGAGCCACCTACAGATGCAGCATTACATCCCCACCTGTGGTAGCTGGTGTTCATACAATTCATTTGGAACATACTGCTCTTAAACCTGTTTGCTTTGTAGCATGGGCTGACAGCAATAGAGATCTTGCAGTGACCGTGCTTTCCAGACAAGGATCCCAAAGTGCTCGGCAAACACTCGTTCATTAAGCCCCCGTGTGAGATAAGTAAATATGATCTGTAAAGGCCTTAATTCAAAGCTCAGTGAAGTTATTGAGGGTGCTGAGCGCTTGGAAACCTGACCTTGAGCTTTTGGGGAAATCTGCCCACTTTGAAATCTAGTCAGTTTTGAACATTGGTGCAACAGGGATTGCACTTGGCCCTGAGTCTCACTGCCAGCTTGTGTGGTTTTACAACTACATTTTCTTATTTAAAGAACACTATGTTTCTCTCCCCTGGACCCACACAAACGAAGGCCTCAATCTTACGATACAGCAGTGGAGGTGGCTGTCGATTTATTTACTGTAGCATCTGAGCAAGCTCGCCATCTTTAATATACTTCTCCTCCTGTGAGGGAGGGCAGTGTTGTTATTCCCAGTTTACAGCCGGGGACCTGAAGCAGAGAGAGATCAAGGCTTGGATCCTTAAAGGCATTTAAGCACCTCATTCCCAATGGAAGTTAGACACCTTAATATTGATGAGGATCTGAGCCTAATTGAGACTCACCCAAGCAGTCTGTGGCAGAGCTGGGAATTGTATTGTGGCCTCTTAGGTTATGTCTACACTGCAATAAAACACCCATGGCTGGCCCGCATCAGCTGACTCGCTGCACACTGCAGCATGAGCCTGAGTCAGCTACATGGGCCCACCGTGGGTGTTTTATTGCAGTGTGGACATACCCTTCCGCTGCAGGCTAACAGCCTGACCACTAAACTATCCTCCCGCTCTAAGGCTTGCTCTACGCACAGTTTTAATGCCAATTTACCTATTTCCATTAGGGGTGTGATTTTTATGCCAAAATAGCTAAGGGATTAAGGAAAACCCTGAAGCCCATCTCAGATCCCGACGACTTTCAAGAGAACGCAGGTGGGGGTACAGTTTGACTGCACTAATCCTTGTTTGTGGAATTGGGGTAAAAAAGGAAAGCCAAGAGCCAGATTCTGATACCCCTACACACACTGCCCTAGTGCAGTGGTTCTCCACCAAGGGTCTGGGGCCCCCGGGGGGGCCGTGAGCAGGTTTCAGGGGGTTCGTCAACATAAATCAGAGAGCAGGGCCGGCGTTCGAAGCCCAAGCCCTGCCACCCAAGCCTGAGCAACTTAGCTTCGCGGGGCTGCCTGTGGTGTCGGACCCCGGGCCATTGCCCTGCTTGCTATCCCCTAATGCTGGCCCTGGCTTTTAATCTACTGGATATGCAGAAAAACAGTCGTGGCAAAGGTGGGCCGAGGAGTTTTTATAGCATGTTGCGGGGGGGCCTCAGAAAGAAACAGGTTGAGAACCCCAGCCCTAGTGGACTGTACAGGAGAAACTGTGAAATTGACTCTACACACAATGCTGTCCAATGGACAAAGTTAAACAGCAAGGAAAGAGAAAGTCATTTTGTTTATCCTCTAATCTTGAGTTTTTCTCAGCACCAAAGCAGGTGACGAATCTTCAGCCAGTAGCATGAGCCTTAAATTCATGGCGTCCCTTTAAGTAATTTGGCCCAGGTCACATAGTGAGTCAGTGGCACAACCAAAAATAGAACCCAGGTGTTGTAGCTGCTCCCAATTCCTGCAACCTGTAGACCAGTGTTTCTCAAGGACTGGTCCGTGGACTGGCGCTGGTCCCTGAGATCTCCCTGACACAGTTTAGGAAGGCAGCAAGCCAGGCTCTGGTATCAAAAAGGTTGAGAAACACTGGTCTTGAGAACAGTTACTTCCTGTTAGTAGTATTCTCATCTTATGCATTGACGTTTTATTTATTCATTTAGGTATCTGCTTTTTCTTAATTTTTTGCCCCTTGTGGCAGAATAATCTGTATTTAAAAAATCCTTCCTCTGCTCAGATTTAAACTGGGGGAGATGGGTTACCTCCCTTTCCCCATTCCGCAATGTCGCCCTTAGTGCTCTGGATGAAGAAGGATGTTATTACATTTCATTATGTATTATCTCCTTTCAGAAGATGCGTTAATTGTTCCTTTCAGTCAGGGAGGCTGTGGCATGCTTTCTGTTGAGGCTAGTTTTAGTCACACGGGAGAGATTGCAACAAACTACCACTGCTTTCTTGTTGTGCGAGGTGCTGTGCAGAACCAGAACAATGGGATTCGGATCTCTGACTCGGGGGCTCCTAGGATCTACAGCAATAGTAAATAAATAATATTAATATTAATACTAATTACTATTAATTCGTGGTATTAATAGTTAATGTTGCTATTAAAATTAAATAATGATTAGTGATTGTTGATTAGTAATTAACAATTACTCCGAAGGGAGCAGTGGAAGTTACATCTCATGAGACGTTTAAAAGCAAATAGAACAACGCCTATAAACATGGTCATTGATGGGGACTGAAGTGGTGGCTGTCAGCACCCACAGAGCCCTATGACTTGAGCTAAAGAGCTTTGCTAGCAGTCACAAAGCAGCAGGTTCTTCTCCTTGCTGGCCCAGCCAGCGTGGGCAACATGATCACATGCATTTAGGCTGAGATGTTCAAAATCTCCCTCAACCTTGATCCAAAGTGACCGGTTACCTAGAGAGGTGGTGGAATCTCCTTCCTTAGAGGTTTGTAAGGCCCGGCTTGACAAAGCCCTGGCTGGGATGATTTAGTTGGGGATTGGTCCTGCTTTGAGCAGGGGGTTGGACTAGATGACCTCCTGAGGTCCCTTCCAACCCTGATCTTCTATGATTCTATGAGATTCAGTCTCTCCGGTTCATTCATTCCTCAGCCTCTGTGCTGAGACAGCTAACAAGGAGGACAGCCCTCACCTGGTGTGTTGGTGAATCTGGCGATGTGGGCAGTTGTCTGCTAGGAATTAGGCTGAGACCCAGCAAACTCATTTCAGAGAGGCTCCTGATGTCGAGCTGTTAAGCGGTGCCGTAAGCCTATAGGTGAGGTGAAACAATGGTCCCCCAAATGAGAAAATGCCATTGTGTGCACAGTTCCAGAAACACTGCAACATGACTAAACTCACTGTTTAAGTTAATTTCAACACCTTAATGTTGAGTTCATTGGTCAGAGCTACCAAAAGACAATGTATTAAAAGATTTTTATTGGTTTTACATGGGCAAGTTTTGTTTGTTTGTTTTTTCAGAAATGATGACGCTGTTTAGCATATGGAAAAAATGGCAAAGATCAACATTGTGCAATATACTAAAATGAAATGTTTTCACATCGCATACTCCTAATTGTCAAAATATCTCCGAAGTAATTATAATAGTTTTCTGTATTTTCAATTGAGATTTGCTAACTAGATCAGTCTCACGCTGAAGGTTGTGCACCCGTAGCAGTAGATTGCGTGCCCATGGTTTGCACTGAATAGTGGGTAAATATAAATGTTTGTGAATTCCTAATGTAATGCTTCTCTATTTGTAAGCTTTTGTACATGCAATGTATCATCTAGTCTCCCTGGTAGAAGGTTTTCATTTGTAATTGCCTATGCCTGTAGTACTAGCCTTTGAAATATTCTTGAAACTAGCTTTTTAATTCGATGACACTCATGCACAGGTCAGTATTAGTGTTAGAAATGACAATACACAGCTTCATATTACGAATATCCAAAAGCTAGGAGAGAACAAAGTGGCCTAACAAGAAGTAGTGAAGACGAAGTCCACAAGCAAGTCCTCGCTTCGGCACTGAAGGGGGATGAAGAGTATGTTACAGCCCTTACTAACCATTCAATCAACCACACAACAAACCCACCTGGGCCTGAAGCACATCCAGAGGTGCTTATCAACATATCTAGTGGACTGCATGGAACATCAGATGTACAAGAGGCTCTAGTGAAAATAGCAGATGTTGGTGAAGAACAAATGGAGAGACTTGTGAGAGGTGCACCTGATTCTGTTGGGACATGTAGCTCCGTTAGCCCCATCAATAAATCTGGCATCAGAACACTTGCTGACATGGCCAAGAAGACCAAAATTGAGTCTGGCTAGGGAGGGACAATCACAGCAGCCATCAATCCAGCAATTGTTTTCTGCAGAGCCCTGTCCTTAGCAAGATGCAGAGGTAAAGTTTTAATGGCAATGGTTCTTAGGTGCCCAGTAGGACCTGTACCTATGTCCCTTTTCCATGCTGATGGAACAATGAGAAGAACAGATAAAGCTGAATTAGAGCATCAGCTGTGGAAGCCTAAAGCTGAAAGAATCCGTGAGGTAAGAGCCTACAAGAGAGAAACCACACTGTACATCCGAGTGGCCATGGCTGTCGCGCAAATGATGGCTGGAGACATATTCCATGCATTCGATGAATTGGCTGTTGAGTATTTGAGGCAGAGTCTCCGATTTCGCGGCTTGTCACTGATTAGTGGGGAAATGGAAAGCAAATGAGCATGACGTTTCTAGGACATCAGCGGTGATCGGGGCAATTGGCAACACAGGTTGAACTGCTGGGATAGCACAGGAACATAAGCGTTACCATCCCAAATTAGGCCTGGGGTCCGCCTACCTAGCCCAATATCCCGGACCCAACAATGGCCAGCACCAGCTGCTGCAACACAAGGTGCAAGAGCGCCTTCATCTCGGGATAACCTGCCTTCTGCGGATGCTTCCTCCTGACCCCACCAGCTAGAGGGTGGTTTATGCCCTGAAGCAGGAGGATTTTCAACCCTTCCCAAACGCTTGAGGCCTGATTCTGCATCTCCCTGTGCCTTGCGTAGTCATTTACACCAGTGCAAAGTGGGGGCAGGGTGACAGCGTTTCACGCTCGCTTTGCACTGATGTCAGTGACCGTGCGAGGCTCAGGGCAAGGCAGAATCAGGCCCCGAGTCGAGTCAAGCCTGTGATAAATCTGGATGTTCTCATTATCCAGATAAATGTCTGATCCCTCCTGACTCCTGCTACTCTCTGGGCTTCAAAGGCACTGAGCGCAGGCAGCAGACACCCTGGCCTTGTGCTCCCCTTTGGATGTGCCATTCTGCCCCAGCATACACATCTCTGCACTGGATGAGCGGCTCTCTGGCTGCTGCGTTGCGCTATGTTCTAATTAGCCGTTATTATTCATTATTTTTGCCAATTATTAATTATTCCTGTAGTGATTATTTAATTGATCACTTTAATTATTGTTTGCTATTTTTTCCTGTATTTGCTTCCCTAGCAACGCAAAGACGCTGGTTAATTTACAGACACATAAAGCCGACAAGCTCCCTGCTCCCCCAAAATGCTTATGATCTAAGCAGATCTGTCAGAGGGGTGAGCTGGCCCTTAAAGACTGCTGAGGCTTAGCTGCTCTGTGTTGAAGGCCAGACCTTCCCCTGTCATTACACCATCAGGGCATTGCCCAGAGATCCCAGGGTCCACCCTTAAATGCTGTGGATCCCCGGGATCTGCAGGAGAGGGGAGAGCCATCAGCAGACAAAATCCTGTACCGTTGTATCTGCTTCCCCACCCCGCACACACCCATGCGTGTGGATAACTTTGTAATTTTGTTTCAGTTTCAGGTGCGCTGGCTACATGAGACAGCGTGGTCTAGCATTCGAGTGGGTGGGTTCTACTCTCTGGTGCGACCATTGCTGGAATACTGGGTCCAGTTCTGCTGCCCACAATTCAGGAAGGATGTTGATAAATTGGAGAGGGGTCAGAGAAGAACCACGAGACTGATTAAAGGGTTAGAAAACAGGCTTTATAGTGGTAGACTCAAAGAGCTCAATCTAACAGAGAGAAGGGTAAGGGCTGACTTGATTACAGTCTATAAGTGTCTATCTGGGGAACAAATATTTAATAATGGGCTCTTCAATCTAGCAGAAGAAGGTTTAACATGATCCAATGACTGGGAGTTGAAGCCAGACAAATTCAGACTGGAAATAAGGTGTCATTTTTTAGCGGTGAGAATAATTAACCATTGGAACAATCTATCAAGGGTCGTGGTGGATTCTCCATCACTGAAACATTTTAAATCAAGATTGGATGGTTTCCCAAAAGATCTGCTCTAGGAATTATTTTGGGGAAGTTTTGTGGCCTGTGTTATCCAAGAGGTCAGACAAGATGATCACAATGGTCCCTTTTGGCCTTGGAATCTATGAATCTCATCCCACCTACTTCAGGAGAGTGGGATGTAGTGGTTAGAACATGAGCCGATAGGTCCTGGGCTCTATTCCTGGTTCTGGTGTGGAAAGCACGGTCTAGCGATTAGCGCAGGCAAGTGGGAGTCAGGACTCCTGGGTTCTATTCCTTGTTCTGCCACTGACTTCTTTTGTGACCATGAGTGAATCCTGTCCCCTCTCTGTGCCTCTGTTTCCACACCTGTATAATCATACCAGCATCCTGGGAGGATAGTGGGCTAAATGCATTAACATTTGTAGGGACAATCTTTTTGTTCTGTGTTTGTACAGCATCTAGCACCATGGGGTCCTGGACCGTGACTGGGGCTCCTGGGTGCTACGGTAAGAGAAATAATAAATAATAATAAAAACAACAGTAATAAAGTGCCATGAGATCCTTGAACAAAAGCCGCTGCTGTTAATTATTTTATTGTTCATAGTTAGAGTGGGAGCCTTCAAAGCTTTTTAACAGAGTGTTTCTGTCTCCCTTATATTTTCTGCTCTGTTGCAAAAGGGGAAGTCAGCGATCTGGAGCATCCAGCAATTCCCGGGACCAGCGCTGTTGTTTGACGCTGGCTCTGGTACAGAGATCTGCAGCGAGATGGTGCGAGGATGCCTGTTGTGTCCTGGTTGCTCGCATGCAGGGAGAACTCAGATCCTCCTGCTTCTGCTGAGATGGTACCTGTGCGCCAGACAAGACACCCAGCAGCTGCCAAGACCACAGGTGGGGGTCTGCGCTGCGACAGAGCATCAGCTGTTGGCAGGAGAGTTCATGCCAGCTCCGTGGTCCCAGTTTTGTATTACAGGTAGGCTAATGGCGGGGATGCTTTTCATGAGGGGGTGTGTTGGAAATTGAGCTGTTTTCTGCAATGTGCATCTGCTGGCGCTGGGAATAGAACCCAAGCTTCTGCTCTAGCTACTAGAGAACACTCCCCTCCCAGAGCTGGGAATAGAACCCAGGAGTCCTGACTTCCATTGGCCTTGCAAATGAGGTTTAGGTTCAGTTTGCCTATTTACTTCTCTGATTCTGCAATTGATACGTATTTATAGTTAGAGCTTGATTCTGCCATCCAAGTCACGTGGGACCTGATTCTCCGTTGCACTTGGCGTAATCGTTTACCCCTGTGCAAAGTGAGTTTAAAATGCTTAAACCAAAGAATCTAGGAAAGCGACTCATGTCTTGCACCTTCACAGATATGCTTACCCGGCTGGGTAAGCCTGGGAGGAGCTGGATGGGGCCATAGCTAGCAAAGGAGCAGAGAAAACAAATCCACACCTGAAGCAGAAGCTGTGTGTGATCCAAATTGTTCTTAAAGGGCTCTGATTCTCATTGACACTAAGGCCCCTTTGCCCCATTCTGGTAGCATAAAGGGCCCTTAAAGTGGGCATAAAATTACAGTTAAACTTACTTTATGGCCCCTTCATGCTGTCAGAGCAGAATAAAGGGGCCTTAGCATAGATGAGAATCAGACCCTGTGTCTTTAGAGGGCTGGTGAGGCATATACCAGGTGCAATCAGTGAAGGGTTTCCTCAGAGGATAGGAAATCAAAGCAGGTCACCGAGCCGAAATCAATGGAGTAAGAGAAACTGCCCCAGCTGGGAGCCAGCCCAAGTCTCCCACCATGACTGGGAAGCCAGGTGCATCCATGCAAGGGGAAAATGAGTTGTGGTTAACCCCTTGTTTTCTAGGGAGCCGGCAGTACCCAAGCTGCTCCCTCCCAATAATTAGCTCTCTCTGGCATGGTTGGGAGAAATTAACCAATGCAGTTTTTACTACTCCACCGAGTTATAGGCCAGGTGCTGTACAAACACCGAACAGAAAGACAGTCCCTGCCCCAAAGAGCTTCCAGTCTATGTGTAAGACAAGAGACAGTAGATGAATACAGACAGGGGAACACAAGGAGACAGTAGCCAGGAGCTATATATTTGGTAGCGCTGGTCTCTGGAACATTCGCTATACGAAGGCTCATGAGAACCAGATGGCATTTTGGTGCTCTGGGCAAAATGAGCTGGGGCTTGGAGATCCTTGGACAGGCCAGATAGCGATGCATTTGGGGGGGCAGCAGGAAAGCTTAGATCCACGATTACTACTATTCATTATTTGGATTACAGTAGAAGCTAGAGACCCCAGCCAAGAGCAGGGCCTCCATGTGTTGAGTGCTGCACAGACGCAGACTCTGCCCCCAGAAGCTACAGACGAAGGATGTGGATTAGGCCTCTGCGATTTGTTTCTGGTCACATAAGGAAATCTATGGCGTACCTAGGACTTAAACCTGTCACTTCTGAGTCCCATCCCTCTGCCTTAGCCACGAGGCTATAGAAACGTAGGGCTCGAAGGGTCCTTGGTAAATCTTCTAGGTCCTGCCTCAGTTCAGGTTATTGGCCAAGTATTATCTAGATCATCCCTGACAGGTTTTTGTCAAACCTGCTCTTAAAAACCTCCAATAAGGAGATCCCACAGCCTCCCTAGGAATTTGTTTGAGTGCTTAACTACCCTGACAGTTAGGAAGTTTTTCTTAAGGTCTACCCTAAATCCCCCTTGCTGTAATTTAAGCCCGTTGCTTCTTGTCCTGTCCTCAGTGGATAAAGAGAACAATTTATCACCCTGCTTTTTATAACAACCTTTTATGTACTTGAAGACTGTTAGCATGTCTCCCCTCAGTCTTTTCTTCTCCAGACTAAACAAACCCAGGTTTTTTCAATCTTTCCTCGTAGGTCATTGTCCTACCCGGCCTTCTTCCTGCGGCCCACTGGCTGCCCCAATAAAGCACAGAGAGGCTTCTCCTTCTACAGCACCCATGGCTTTATTTACAGACTTCTCCCACCACCAGTGATATACTATATATGGTTTGCAGGCTTTACGATCTCCACTTCCACAGACAGACCTTCCCCTAGCCATCCCCCCTTCCTTCTGCCTGCCAGCCTTTATAGCCCTTGAACCCTCAGGCCCACAGGGGCAGCCAGTTCTAAAGGCCAGGCACCAGACTCCTCCCCAGCCCCAATCTATTTCCCCTGATTGGGGCTGGCTGAGCAGGGGCTAATTAGGTGCCTCTGCACCAGCACCCTGCTCCAGTCATGTTTTCTAGCCCTTTTTTTTTTTGTTGCTCTCCTCTGGACTTTCTCAGTTTGTCCACATCTTTCCTGAAGAGCGCTGCCCAGAGCTGGACACAGTACTCCAGTTGAGGCCTTATGAATGCCGAGTAGAGTGGAAGAATTACTTGTCCGTGTCTTGCTTGCAACACTCCTGCTAATGCAGCTCAGAATGATGTTTGCTTGTTTTTGCAACAGCGTTACATTGTTGATATTTAGTTTGTGATCCCCTATAACCCCCAGATCCTGTTCTGCAGTACTCCTTCCTAGGCAGTCATTTCCCATGTGATATTTGTGCAACTGATTAGTCCTTCCTAAGTGTAGTACTTTGCTTTTGTCCTTATTGAATTTCATCCTTCCCCTCAATGCAGATGTAGCATATTACTATATATTATTACAAAGTTATTATTACTCGTGTCCTATAGCAATCCAGCCCCTTTTCACCCAAGGATTAGGGTTACAGGGGTTGTAACGCCTAATGGATTAATGTGCGTAAAGCTCATTGGTTGAGATATTAAAGCAGACTGAGTGGTGTAAGACACATCTATGGGTTTGCAGAGGGTTGGAGTCAAGCAACAAAGGGGAGCTGTAATTGCAGCAGCTGATTGTGCAACCCAATCCTGGGCGATGGGGGTGGGAAAGAAAACTGATGCCTCTGCCCGCCCCCAAATCCTAGAATAATTAAAACAAAACCCTGGCATAGAGGATCACTCACAAACAAGACCTGGCACTAATTGGCACCTTTGCTGGCAGCCACAACAGGCCTGGGGCTGAGCAGGCCGTAGAGACTAACTCCTCTCATCTGCCCCTCCTCCCCAGAGGGGGTCCCCGTGGGGCAGGAGCGAGACATGCTGGCGGGGTGACGTGTTGGGGCAAGCAGCGGCCCGGGCTGTGTGCCTGCTATGTGGGGAAGCAGAAGCCATTGCTGCCTAGGGGGTATCCGTGTGGCACCAAGAGCTGGCGTTAAATTCACGAGGGCAAGTGTGCACACTGGGACAGGGACAAGAGGGGATGCACACTTGTACATACACGCACACAGATCAGGACGCCAAAGGCAGCCGATGCCATCGCTCACTGATGGGGGCGGATTCTCCTTTACACCATTCTAGAATCACCCAGGGGCCTCGGTTACATTTCCATCCCCTTCTTACCCTGCCGGCGTGGTGCAAAGGAACCAGATTCCTAGCATTTAAGGCCAGACGGGACCATCCCCCTGTATATCACAGGGCATAACATTTCACCTACTTCCCCCTTTGTCGAGCCCACCAACCCGGCAAAAGCATCTCTTCCAGAAAGGCCGCCAGTCTTGATTTGAAGACTCCAAAAGATGGAGACCCCACTGCTTCCGGTGGTAGTCTGGTCCAGTGGCTATCACCCTCACTGTACAAGATTTGTGTCCAATTTGAATTCGCCTTAGGCTGCGTCTTAACGGCCAAAGAAGTGTGGGTTTGTCCGGAGATAGGCATCTCGCTGTAAATTCCTGGAGTGGAGACAAGGCACAGGTAATTCCTGAGGTAGCCAGACAAAACCCCAGGTGATGGTGGGATGTAGGGGGTGACCTTGACTAGCTACAGTATAGTTGAAAACAACCTCTGCCTCATCTCCGCTAGGATTGTACATCAGCATCGCTACCACCGTGTCAAACACACACCTTTTTTGTAGCGAAGACAAAGCCTGGTTTCTGTTAAACCTGCCCCGCTTTCTCATGTAGAGGAGGGCTTCGAGTGGAACCTGGCCTGAGCTGAGCTGTTTCTTTAGCCCTCTGGCTACGTCTCCACTGGAACCATGGGGAGGGGTGTAATTTGCAGCTTGTGGTGACAGACCTGCGCTAGCTTTCATCCAGCTGGCGGGGCTAGAAGTAGCAGTGGGCTTCGGCGCAGATGGGCAATGCAAGGGATACCCAGGGTCCCAGGCAGGCTTGGGCAGCCCACGCTGAAGCCTGTGCAGCCATGTGCTCACTGTTCTTATTAACGAGCTAGCTAGATCACAGCTCTCGGCTACAGGAGCGGCACTCATGCCTCCAGTTGCAGGGTGGATGGGCTCAGCCTAGGCCCCCTCCCCTCCCGTGCTCTAGAGCCTCCTCATCACTAATTCATGGTGCTTGCAGCCTGCTCCATTAGGGAGCGAGCTGGTGACCTCCAGCTGCCTTCCCCTCCCCTCTGCGGCTGGTCGCTTCCTTTCCTCTCCCCGAAGCATTTAGCTCCATCAAGCTCTCCTCCCCCTCCAGCCAAGAGTCCTCTTCCCCAGCCCTCCTGCCCCTTCCAAGAGGCGCAGGTGGCCAGATGTTTGGAACATCTGGATGGACGCCACCAGGAGCACAGAGAGGAACACACGCCGGTTGCCCTGGTTGAAGGAGACTTGCCAAATCACCACGAGAGGGTCTCACCCGGGCATACAAATCTGCTCCGACCGTAAGCAAGATGAAGATTATTGTCAAAATCATACAAGACAGCCTGATCTGGCAAATAACCCTACTGAAGTCAGTGAGACTGCAGGATATGAACCCTTATCCACCCCAGAGCCAGCAGTGGAACCCAGGAGTCCTGACTCCCCGTGTGCTCCCACCACTAGATCGCATACTTCTGCTGGACTTAGGAAGAAAACCCAGGAGTCCTGACACTTAGTCCCCAGTTCTAACCACTAGACCCCCCCCCCAGGTCACATAGAATTTGGCAGATTTGGCCCAGAAATAGATTAAAAGGGCCTGATT